AGGAATGCCTCTCTTCCCACTCTTCCTCAAGGAAAAAGGTTAAAAACTCACAAAATATAAACAATTTGCTGTTCTCTCGTTATCAGGAATAGAACCAACCAGCCCTGTCGTAAAATGAAGCCAAGCAGCCCTGAACAACACACAGGCAAGGATACTCAAGATGATACCCTGTGGGCTGCAGATACACTCTCAGCAAGGACAGTAGATGACCTGGCTCCAGATACATCTGTTATGGCTTCTCCATACCTTCCCTGCCCAGACTTTTCCAACTACAGCTCGGAGGTTGCTCATGAGCTCCGTAAAGCTAGAAGCTAACTCCAAACAGACACGACTGCCTAGCTGACTTTCTGTTCCCTACTACATAAACCCCATGGACCCACTCCTCCCTGGCTCTCGTACCTACCCTGCTCCAACCTTGGTTTCTATTCATCTTGTGCAAGGTCTGCTTCTGCACTCCCATGTCCCACAGCAAGTCATCAGAGGATAGGAACCAAGACTGGACAGTGAAGATTCTCCCAAGCATTTCTACCTCCTCCCACAAAATCTCAGAGACCAGTTGTTTCTGAAAGCTTTAAGACCCCAGCAAGTCAATATTTTATTTAAGCTAACAGGATTTTTGGAAGACTAGTTCCTTTTCTGGGGATGAAAAATTCAGTCTGGCTAAAACAGAAGGCAGCAAAAAGGTAAATTTCATAGGATCAAATTCAAAACACAAAAATCTTTACTGGCCTGGCTGCTTTTTTTTATTGGCGAAGACCAGAACACTTCTTGTTTTGGGGAATGAGGACTCTCACTTTTTAGTAGTCTGAAAGCATCATCAGCATACACTTGTTTGACAAGCAGTTCTGGCTACTAACGTGCACTTTGGCTCTTGGATCATGTACGAGTCTCATTCACAGAGTAGGACACAACTTGATAAGCACAAACAAAACCTTCACAGTATCAGAAGGGTTTCACAGTATGCAGAGAGTTAATACCATGAGGCATCAATATAGTGCTTCTGCACCTAGAAGAGCTTGATCTATTTTTGAAGACTGAAGGGACTCAACACCAGTTGAGCTGTAGGTCTCAAACACTCAGTGTGCTTAAATAAAAGGAGCAGGTTCACAGAACAGCTATGCCCCATTATGAATAATCAGAGCTTATCTAAATTTAGATGGCACTGGATCAATTTAAAATGCCTGTAAGAACAACCTGCTGCTGTAGAACAGGAAGATGAAGCTGCAATGCACAATGTAATGCACTGCATGCTGAGGAACATTGATTTTTATTGCACCTGAGTAGTATCAGTGGAAAAAAAACCTAGCAGACACGTTTTGCATCTGCCCAGCTTAGGCTTCTGCTCAATCCCAGAGCAGGCTGTGTACTATTTAAAGGGAATAGACTGATGTAAGAGAGTGAGATTGTATTTCAAGTTAATCATTACAATCCATACTTTTTCTTTGGACTTATTTGATTTGTGGAATTACGTCTTTCAATAAAGGTCACATCGCATCACGGTCAATTAAGTCTAACACGTACAAATGAATGTCATCCCATCTTCTGTCAGGGATGCAAAAACTCCCCCAGCTCTACAGCTAAACAAACCTCTTCCTCATTAACTTTCCCCAGCTAATGCCTGAGATGACGCATCAGACTTTGTCTGCCAAGTGACCTGTGCTTCTGTCACAGCAGCCAGGGCACCACATGAGAAACATCCTGTCCATTGAGAACCTTTAGCTTGAGTACTTCAGCTGACCATGACAGCCATCTAGGGGTCTGAGACACTCTCTCTCAGAGAGGACAGATCAGGCAGAAAACAGCTATATAGCTTTTGCTTTAAACACACAAGTTGCCTTTTGAACAATTCCACTGCAGTTACTTACCAGTAGCAAATTAAACCGTGAAACAGTGGTTAAATAGAAAACAGCTAAACATTTATTATTTGGTTTGCAACATTGGACATAAGGCAGATCTTCCAAGTTCAAATTTTCTAAAGCTAGACTTTTAACCCTCTCATCTTCAGGAGATCTGCACTGGACAGTAGCTAGTAACTTTAAAAAGTGATTTTAAAGTTACTTTAAGTGCAGAGCAAACACCCTTGGCAAGTGGCAAACAACTGCAGTGCTACCTGCCTGAGATCTGGTCACTTGACAGGCTTTATCAGCCATTCAGTTGGCAGGCAATGATTTGGCTGAAGTACCACATCTGAGAACCCACACTGCAAGCACTCAGAAAACTCCGCCTTCAAATAAGATATTGTGCTGATTTGACTCCATCTGTTTAACATACTCATTTAGTTAATGCATTGGGAAAATTCAGTGTAGGTGAGGAATAAACCTCCTAATCAAAGGGAACTGTCTCTCTGACAGACCGAAAACATCACCCCTAACAATCTCAGTGAAATATTACCATTTAAAGCTTAAGAATATTTTATTTGACTGTGAACACTTTAGTGTCAAGAATGAAAAAAGTGTGAAAGCCATAAAACAGGAGAAGTGTGAACTGGCAGAAGGAAGAAACAACAGGTAGACTGAAGGAGACAGGTAACGGAAGCTTGGGAAAAAAAAAAAAGGGAGAAGGAAAGAAATGGGATAGCTAAAATGAAAAAGATTTTATTTCTGAGACATGCCAGATGTGAACAACAACTAAAGACACTTGAGGTATTACACTTACTAGCAGCAATGCTACAGTCAATCTCCTAAATATTGTTTCCATCCATTATTCCCAATTCATGGCAAGCAGGAAACTCCTACTATTTAAGTAAAAAGGAGTCAAATTTTCCTCTGCCTAGAGTGCCCTCTCACACCATCATCCAGTCACCGCTGCTCAGTTCATGTCTAGCACACAATGTGGCAGATTTCTAATAGATGAAAGTGGGGCAAAATTACCAACTGAGAGGATCCCACAGATCAAGCCAAAAACTTCTCGTTTTGCTCACCCTGCCATCACTTCCAAATGGAGCTGGCCAGAAACTGTCAGGAAGGCAGGAACATTGAAGAAATGGGTCTTTTCTGCAGATTTCCTTGCCTCATTTGATGACTGTAAACAAAAAAATGAGCAAGAAGTCAAACCACTGGTGTTTGAATAAAAAGCACAGCTCCTAGCTTTTTTCCCATTTTTCTTTAAATAAATTCCATGAGATTCAACCCAAACACTGCTGAGATGGAATCCAACAGTATATTAAGTTATAATACAACCCTATCTTTGCTCAGACTGTGAAAGGGCTCTAAAACCTATTCAAGTACAACACATTAAGAAAAAATCCCACAAGATACACCATTCTTGGGCACTTCTCTTTCTAGGGACTGATGCAAAGAAGGTATCAGTGTAGTGAAAAGCCATACTTCAAAGTGAGACACAGGACAGCTCCTACCTCCACTTTCAGTTACTTGTGAGGACTTGGGTGGTCTCACAACAACTTGCAGGAGAGGTTTGTGAACTGTGGCACATACCTCCAGTGTTACCAGCAAAGCTTGGGACACATCATCACACAGAGGGATCTTTCAGACATTTCTCAAACTAACAGGGATTGTGCATTGGATCCCCAGCAATCAGCTGTATCAGTCCAGCTGAGTGGGAAGAAACTTGTTAAGGCTTCAGAGTTTGACTGTCCAAAATTCTGTGGGCAGCACAGAATCATGGAATTGTCACAGTTGAAAAAGACCTGTAAGATCATCAAGTCCAACCATCCACCCAGGGGAAAACAACACCAAAAAAACCAGCACACCCACCAGGGCATGCCCTTAAGTTCCTCATCTACATGTTTCTTGAATACTTCCAGGACTCCACCATTGCCCTGGGCAGCCTATTCCTGTGCCTGACCACTCCTTCAGAAAAGAAATTCTTTATAATATCCAGTCTAAACCTCCCCTGGTGCAACTTCAAAGTTCATACAATGCTAAAAGAATATGAGGCTCTTCAGTTCTCAGCTCCTGCCTTTGTATGTGGGCATATGAGGAGCTCTCCATTTTCCTCAAAGAATTGCTTAACTTATGTGATTAGACATCTATGAGGTGATTTAGCAATGACACTGTAGAAAGGAAGGAGGTTGCAGAATGTAAAATAAAATGTCAGGAAGGACATATCCACCATTTTACAATCAAGTCTGAGAAGAAGAGTGGTAGAAATGAAGATTTTTCTAAAGTAGCCTCTGATTTTTGGTTTCCTGGTAAAGTAACACATATATAATCTAAAGCCTTGGTCGATCTAGGAGGAGTTTGGGAGCAGGTGGAGAAACTAGATCTGATGTTTCTAAGAAATGCAGAGATAAAAAATGAAAACCCCTCTGGAACATCTGTTGAAGAACATTTTGCCCAGCACATATGAAAGAAAGATGCCAGCCTATCAACCAGTCTTCAAATACAAGTATTGATTTTTCACACTTTCCTACCAAGATGAACAGTGAGGGGGAAGGGAAGAATCTTTACAATTCTAAAGTTTAAAGCTTCACACAGCATTGTCTTCAAAATTAAAGTTCAAGTCTGCTGAGAAAATGGAGGAGTACTTTCCATGTCAGGTGCAGTGACTTTTAGCAAAGACTAAAAGCAGTCTTATTTCCTTTTCATGGGCAAATGAATTTGTTTCAATTGCAAAAAGACCAACAGTAATCAGAGGAAAAAAAAAAGGGGGGGAATGCAAATCCTCTTAAAGCCTGTTACTTAGTCTGCAAAAAAAAGCTCAACTGAAATAACATAAAAACATCACAGCTTACACATTCTATAGACACTGAAAAATGAACTATCTTTCATTTCAGCTTTTGCATATTCTTCCAGATCACCAAAAATGTTAAGCACAAAGAACTATGAGTAATGGAAAATATAGCAAGTGAAGTGTTTCATTATAAAAAGGACTAAAAAAAAGTCCCATTAAAGTGATGGTATATTTTTGTTTTGTAATTTACAAGCACAGGAGAAAAACTAGTACACCTCTGTGATGAGCATGTTAAAAGTCATTTGAGCACAAGGACTGTGCTTCACCATTTCTCTGGCAGAAAGCAAGCTGACCATAAGACAGCAAGGAGCCCTCATGGCCAAAACAGTCACCAGTCTCCTGGGTTCTTAAACCAATGAGTGTGGTCAAACACCAGAAAAAAATTTACTTAGAGAGGCAGTGAAATCTCCATCTGGGGAGATACTGAAAACTCATCTGGATGGAGACCCAGGCAACTTGCTCTAGCTGACTGAGCACAGTGAGATGGAATAGACAATCTCTAGAGGTCACAAATCTGTGACTTTGAAAAAAAGCCATTAAGATAAATGAGATTTTTGTTTCAGCATTTCTATATTTCAATGTCATCCCTAGCTTTAGAGGAGTTAAAGGTTCAGGAGAAAGACAGAAAGAAACTTCGAAACTAATCTGAGGCTCAGCTAATCTATATTCATTTCCAAATGAATACTTTCTTCTCGGATAAGTGTGAAATACCCACTTTTCAACGTGTAGTTCCTAAGAGTTCTGCTAGCTCAGCATGCCACTGACTCCAGTCACCCTGCTCTGTCACACAGAGGTTGTTAGGCTCAGGCTTGTTTGCCAGCCTTTGATATTCTACAACCTGCCATTTTTCTCAATGAGTCAGAAGGTGTTGCTTTTTTTTCCTCAAAAAACTCTGCTGCTCATCACAACGATAAAACAGAGACTGCCAAAGACCTCAGATCACAAGGCAGTTTTATCTCTTCCCAGCATCACACCAAAGAAAAGAGCAAGCCTGCCTTGCTCCACAGAGATCAATAGGAATATGACAATTTGTGGCTCTAACCCCAGGACTGCTTCCTTTGTTTCATGGCTTTTGCAGTTCTAAAAAAACCAAACAACAACCAAGGATGTAGAAGCAGGCGCCTATTGTTTTCTTCAAATAAACCCAGAGTATTTGCTCACAAACAATAAAGTTATTAATAAACATACAAACATCCACATGCCACAGCCCCAGAGCCACGGCCGGAGCACTAAAGAGAAGGGCCATATACTACTCCAGTTTCTCTTACTGCAGTCTTAGTTCAGCTACAGTCCTTGTCCACCAGTGAAAAATCCCACCTAATCCTCTAGGATGCAACTTCTAAACAACAAGAAATAGACAGACTGGAAGCAGGAAAAGAACAGAAGAAATCAGCCATGAAATCTCAGCACTTCCCCCCAAATCCACAAACAGGATACAGCTGTCTCCAGGAGCTGGTGCTTGGTTTATTTATAATGACTGTCATTTTTCATTCTCCAAATCAGATGTAATCTCAGGGAGTCAAAGAGAAAATAGACACAACAGTGACTGAAGGAAGAGTGTGAGAAAGTCTGCAGCTCCACTGGACTTACAGAAACCTGCAGCCAATTTGAGAGGCCACTAAGGGAACCTGAGGTGTGTGTCTGCATTGTGAGCAGCTCATGGACGGTTTCCAACAGAAGGTGAAAACTGAACATAGCAATATTTAAATCAAATTTTACTCCTCCATCCCTTGCCTCTTCATAGTTGCCCACTTCCTCTCCCTCACTGTGAGACACAAAGCTTGATCAACAGGTGCTGTGAGCTGCAGAAGTCAATCCACCTGCTACACAGGGAAAACTAAATGCCTTCCTTTTCCTTCAGAAGAGACCCCGTCATCTAGGAGGTATCCCATCATCTCACATTTCACATTTACAAATACAGACTAACCCACCAGAGGTGGTTCCTCCTCTTTACACATTCAAGCACAGGATCAGGTCATTGTTTTAAAGTGCGTGTGCTCCAGATTTATGCTCAGCCTTTTAGACCAAGCTTGCTTCTTCATAATAAACAACCTGTTTATTATAGAAGACAAATAACTAGGAGGTGATGCTATCCCTCCACTGCTGACAGAGTGATTGTTTTTCATGTCTGTGTAGCAAAATGAAGCAACAACACTGTGATGCTTTTATGTCAATTAGATGGACTTTCCTCCCACTTCCCACTCCTAAGTACCTACTTGATAAAAGACTTGGGGGGAATAATGTGTTTGCTTTCAAGTTCTTTCTGTTCCTTAGTTAAAAATGGCCCAAATTACAATGGGGAAAGAGGGAAGGGGAATCTGTATGAAACATCTTGGTGCCTCAGAGTAAACGTGGTATGAACATACTAGGATTCAATGTCAACATCAAAGGCTTTTTATTCTCATTCTAAATACGAGAACAACTGGATTTAGTGCCTGTTTTGTTCTCCATCTCCTCAAATGTCTAATAATTTCATTTAAAATCATTCCCTTTGATGTCAGTTGTATTAACTTGAGGCAATTAGCTTCAGGAGAGTGTAAACTGTTTGACTCTGTCTTTCACTTTATGCAAGCCAAATGCATGAAGGGATCAGAGACATCTGAAAAGCTCCTAGAAATCACTGCTGTAGTTCTAGGCCAGGCCCACAACACCATGCTGCTGAAGCTTCAGAGCACCACATCTTTAATCTGGACCTGCCCTCTGTGACATCCCATTATGAACATGACTAGGTTTTCCTTCTTAGACAACTACTACAAAATTAATAACTTCCAAGAAGTCCTCCTTGCAATTCCAGTCCTAATTCTCATCAGCTGGACTTGCATTGGGCAATAGCAGCTGGTTCTGCCGAGACAAACACCTCATAAATACGGACTGGAATTACAAGCAGAGATGAACCATGTATAAATGAGCAGAAACTGGAGAGATAGAAAATGCAAGAGCAAGCCTTCCCTCAGGTTGGTTCCAGCTAACCCTGATCCCTGCTGAGCACCTTTCTGAAGTCCCAGTCTCCCAGGACCTGGCTGCCTCCCAGACTGTGACACATTTCTAGAGGTGAAAACACCTGACAGTCTCTAATATTGCAGCATTTAACTGTGACTCTCTCAGCAGATCCCAGCCTTCCTTACTGCTGACAAAGCTATTTTTCAGCATTATCAAAGGAATGGTAAGAGGAGGTTTCTTTATCTTCAGCAACAGGCACTTGTTTCTTCTGCCACAGTAGGCACAGCCATGCACTTGCACCTTTCACAAATGTAGGAACTTTTACATCACTCCTGTGAGCAGGTGGCAAAAAAAAAAACCACCATAGCACCTCTGAATATATCTCAGAT